GTGGAGAACTTTGTGGCGTTGGCCACCGGAGAGGTGAGGGGCCAGCGGCTGCCTGGCGGGGCCTCACCCGGCCCCCTGGGAGGCTCCTGCTTGGCGCCCAGGGGCAGAGCTGGACGGAGGGGGCTCTAGTCCGTCCCTTTGCCTCACTCCGTTTTCTCCCTCCCCACCCCCAGAAAGGATTCGGCTTCAAGGGCAGCAAGTTCCACCGTGTGATCAAGGACTTCATGATCCAGGGCGGAGACTTCACCCGTGGAGATGGCACTGGAGGTAATTTGGCCCACACCAGCCCGAGGATCCAGGCTCAGTGTCTTGAAGCAAGACAGCGGCTGCGCTCCTAACCCGCCGCCTGGCTACCCCTGCGGAGCAGTGTGGAGCTGGAGCGCGGTGCCACAGCGGGAACGAGTGGGCATGAGTGGGCACACAACTCACAGAGACCTGGCCTCGAAGCAGAGCTTGGTGCTGGGGCGGGATGGGCGCAGTGAGGCTTGGCTGGTGGTACCTGAGTGTTACCCGTGTAACCGTGCCCTCTGCCCCGGCAGGACCTGGAGCTCCTCACTAAGAAAACTTTCCTCTGCAGCAGCTGGTGTCTCTGCCAGGCGTCCTGGCTGCTGGAACACATTTAGTCTGGTAGCAGCAGAGTTCAAACCTTCCACCAGCACTTGGCAAACATTAGTAAAGTTGATGATATCAGCATTTGGGCTTGTAAGCTCGTATCAGGTCTGCTCTCGCACAGCCTCCTGCTCCGGTCCCTTGGGGGCGTGATCCCTCCTGCCCAGCTTGCGGGGTGCTTTTGGCTCCCTCCGGTAGCAGGTAGCTCATGGTTCCCTGCAGCCCTGCGGTGTTGGTAATTAGTTCCTCCTCTAGATGTGCTTGTTCACCCCACCCAGCCTGTGGAGAGAGCCGCCATCATCACCCCTACCCTGACGTATTCCCATGAGAGCAACGTGGCCTTTTTTTTTCCCCACCTTAGGAAAAAGTATCTATGGGGACCGCTTCCCTGACGAGAACTTCAAGCTGAAGCACTACGGCCCTGGCTGGGTGAGCATGGCCAACGCCGGCAAGGACACCAACGGTTCCCAGTTCTTCATCACCACAGTGAAGACACCGTGGCTGGACGGCAAACACGTGGTGTTCGGCAAAGTGCTGGAGGGCATGGTAAGGGGGTGATGGGTGCTAAGGGGGTGATCGATTCCCAGGGGGAGAGCGGGACCGGGCAGATGCTGTCTAGACAAGCTGTCTGGGGGCAGAGCACTGTGGAGAATGGGCTGGGAGGTGCCTTCTGGGACGGGGATTGCGCTGAGCTGGCTCTGCCCGTGCCCAGCATTGCCCCCCTCTCACGCCTCTGCTTTCCCCAGGATGTGGTGAGGAAGGTGGAGAACACCAAGACAGACAGCCGGGACAAGCCCCTGAAGGATGTTGCCATCGCCGACTGCGGCACCATCGAGGTGGAGAAGCCATTCGCCATCGCCAAAGAGTAATCCGCCCTCCCGGCTCCGCGACACGGTGCGGGGCCCTGCGCTCTGCAAGGGACCCAGCCATGAAGGGCTGTGGGCCTGGGGCTGCCCTGCTCCCCTTCCATGTGTTTCCCTGTGGTCCCGGGGCGGGTGAGCAGCAGCAGAGCCGCTGTGCCCCGTGCCCCTGCTGCCCGGCCTCTCCCTTCACCCTGCCGCCTTCCAGATGGCCAGCAGGCAGGACGGGGCGCTGGCTCCTCTTCCCATCACTTTTGTAAGAAGCACATGCACCAATAAATGTGACCAATGTGTTTTTTAAAGAGTCGCCTCTCTCCTGCTCTCAGAGGGCTGTGGGTCGCTTACGCATCCCTCAACCCTCCAACCCCCTTTCACGTTTCATCGAGCCGGGAGCGGCGCTGCGCTTGGCCCTGGATTTGCTTTGCAGAATTTCGGAGCACAGCGATCTTTTGCCAATCAAGCCCAAGTGATTTATTGCACCAAAGCCCGGATGCTGAGGGGTTTTCTGGCACGGTTCAGGGTCCAAAGGCTCCTTGGCAACCCCAAAAGGTCAGGGCAGAAGGCGGAGCTCCTGCTCTTCCAGTGAAGGCACTTTGGATGGTGGTGGGTGAGCAGCGCTGGCCCGCAGAGCAGCTGTAGCTCCCACCGTACCCCTTGGCTTCTCCCACCCAGTTTTCCTGCCCCATCCCAGTGGGGAGGAGTTATTTTTACCACAGGGATCCTTACCGCTGCCCGGCCGCTCGCCACTGTGGCCCTGGGTGCTGGGTGGGTGCTCAGGAGCCCGGCAGGCCAGGGGCTTGGGGCACTGCCTGGCTGGGGGTGCAGCTCGGGTGGATGTAGAGGCCCTGCAGCACCCCGCTGAGGACGGTGTCGGGGAGAAGGTCTGTGAGGAAAGGGGGGAGCTGGAGCAGCTTGGTTTCTCCCAGGCCCCATTAAAGGAAAAATACATTTTCAGGGCCCAAAAGAGCCTTTTCCCTTGGAGGCTTTGGGGACCCGCACCCGCGGTCTTGCTTCTTACCGGTGCCCAGTGGCTGTGCGTAGGGGTCAGTGCAGAAGCTGACGACGGGCCGCTGGGAAGGCAGGTGGCCGGCGCTGCCATGGGAGAGGGGACATTGGCACCCGGTGAAGAGTTCGGCTTTCACCCCGGGTGACCCAGCTGCGTGCCAGCCCCCTGCCTGTCCCCATCATCCCCAACCCCGTGTCTTGGGGTGCTTAACACGGGTGAGGGGGACGATCCCAGCACCGTGTGGGATAAACTGGGTGCTGGCAGAGCCCGACGGCACTGTCCACTGCTCATCTACTCACGGGGGTCTGCTGGCCTTGGGGTCCTGCTGGCAGCGCCGCACCTTCAGGAAGTCCAGCACGTCCTGGGGCAACTCCTCGTTGTGGTACAGGACACCCTGTCGTGCACTCAGGGGGGTCAGCACCCCAAAAAAAACCCACCACACAACAACCCACACCCAAAAGCCACTGCCAGCCGGCACCTTACCTGGATGTAAAGCTCCAGGCCCTGCCGGCGCTGCTCCAGCACTTTGGGCATCCAGTTGGGGACATGGCGGGGGGGGAAGTCGGGGACCTTGCAGGTCTTCTTGATCTAGGGTAGAGCATGGGGGGGGATATCATGGTAGCATGGACCATGGAGGAGGAGGCTGGTCCTCACTGCTCCGGGGAGCTGGTCTGTCCCCGGGCAGGTGTGAGGCCACCGTGGTCCCACCCATGTCCCCCCCACTGGCAG